TTGGAGACTCTTAAAATGATTGGTGGTGTGGGATCAAGGGGTGAGGGATGGATGTTACTTGATGGAGTGTTTGTAAGTATATATTGGTCAATAAATTGAGTAGATGAAGGTATAGGGGTAGGTTACATTAGTGTATTGGAAGGTGGATATGTTTGGGGAGGTTGATTGTGAGGGTTAGGTGTATATGGAGTCATGTGATGTGTCGGTGTGTCTGAGAAGAGTATGTCATAATCTAGTATTTTTGAAGTGTTTGATGAGTCATTGGTGGAAGGTAGACTGAAGCGAAAGGAATCTTCATAAAATGAGACATTTCTGGTTCTAGAGATTTATCTGATAGATAAGTTCACAACAATGTATCCTTTTATGCCTTGTTTGTAATCAAGGAAAATGCACTTAGAAGCACAGGGTATCCAAAAACCTTTAGATTGTCATACTCAGGAGGAGAACCATGAAGAAGCTCATTAGGAGATTTGGACCTAATGACATGAGAAGGTAACCCGTTGATGATAAACACTGCATGACTAATTTCAAAATTCCAAAATAGCTTTGGTAGGCTAGACTTAAACATGAGTACTCTATAAATAGTTAGGATATGTATATGCTTCCTTTATATTACAAGATTTTGTTAAGGTGTCTCTCTGTAATTCTTCTTATGTATGATGCCTTTATGGTTGAAATAATCATTCATTAAGAACTCTTTGTCATTATTTGATCTGACTTATTTAACAGTATTTCCAAATTGAGTATGAGCCAAAGTAATAAATTGCACAATCAAAGGCCTAACCTCATATTTTGATTTCATTATAAAGGCCCAAGTGTGTCTGGTGAAGTCATCACCAACAGTTAAGAAATAAGATTGACCATGGATAGATGAGGGTGTGAATTCCCCATATATCCATGTGAATTAGTCTAAATGCTGAAGTGACTTAATTATGCTCAAAGGAAAAGACAACTTAGTTTGTTTAGCATAATGACAACAATCGCAAATAGAATCAAAATGATCATGAATATGAGGAAAACTTTGTTGAATTGTTTTTATTACATTATGTGAAGGATGGGCAAGCCTATGATGCTCAAGACTAAATTTACTAGAAGCATTATGAATATAATTTGTAAAAGATATATCAGTGTAGTATGAAAAGGGAATACAAGAATCCTTACTAAGAATGTACATTTGATCGTGAACTTTGGCAAGCCTAATCATCCTCAATGAAGGTCGTTTTTGAATGATAGAAGAACAATGATTAACTATAAGATTGCACTTGTTATATGATGATAGTTGAGAAGTATAAATCAAATTGCAAGTAAACTCAGGAACAAAGACAACATCATAGAGAGTTAAGTTTTTATTCAATCTAACAGTGCCAAATATTTTAGATAAGATGTGAGAGCCACTGTGTCTAATAGATTTGTATGAATAAAAAAGGTTAAAGGAAGAACAAATATGATTTATCGCACCTGTGTCAATGATCCAATTGTTGGTTAATGAACTTACATTATTGTGTATGAAAGAGTGATGCAAACCTGGTGAGGAGGCATGAATGATATGAGAATTAAAAGTGTTTGACTCCTCAATTTTGTTGAGCAATGCTACCAATTTTTGTACATGTCAGAGAAGATTTCAACTTTTCTATCTTGGTAAACAACATTAGTGGATGATGAATGTTGATGCTCGTTCGAGGTATCAACATTGTTAGAAAAACCCACCATGTCTTTGAACCTAAAACCCGATGGAAAACCATGTTTGAAATAACATATATCAAGAATGTGCCTAGTTTTGCCATAAAAAGAAAAGACTTTGGAATTGTTTGAACTTATGCCTTGAAAGTTTGGTTTGCCATAACCTTTACCTTGCTTAAGTTGAAATATTGCATTAGTTGAAGAATTATGTGTCTGAGCCAGGAGAATCATGGAATTTTCAGAAGGAGAAATGGTTGTTAACTATCTTTCTTGTTGCAAGATTGGAGAGAAAACCTTGGTAACATCTGGGAGGGGCTCCACCATGAGGATTTAAAATTTAACATTGTCGAAATCGACATTCAATCCTTTTAGGAAACAAATGATACATTCCATGTCACGTTAATTTTTTATTGTGAGGTGCGCGCCACAAGTGAAGTTAGGAAGATTTTTAAGAGCTTATAGATCTTCCCAAAAATTTCTTAACTCATTGAAGTAAGCAGTCACAGATTTCTCACCTTGTCTCAAAGAATGAATTTGTTGAAGAATATCAGATAACCGAAAGTGATCGCTCTAGGAAAAATGATTTTGAAGATCTGTCCAAAGTTGAGCAACATTATTGACGTAAATGGTGTTTTTAACAATATTGGGAGATGATGATGTTGGAATCCATGAAAGAACGATGTTGCTGCATCATTCCCGAGTACAAAGAGAGCATCATCTTCTAGTGGTGTTGTGAGTGTACCATTGATGGATTTATTCTTGTTCTTGCTCAAGAGTGCGTGTTTCATCGATCAACTCCAAGATTCATAGTTGTTTTCCGATAGTGGAGGAGAAATAAGAATTGCATCCGAATTTTCAGTGGGACGAAGCTAATAAGGACTTGATTGATCAATGGTTATATTCTTGCTTGTTTGATTGTTGTTTTGTTGTGCTGTGTTGTTTTTGGTCGTGTGATTGTTGTTGTTATTTATGGATGAATCCTCATGAGCATGAGCATCCATAGAAAAAGATGTGAATGAAACTCAAGATGAAAGGAATGGAAAACGGTTAAAGAAGGAAGAAGAAAGATCTTCAAATTACTCACACTATTGATACCATAATAAGAATTGTGAAAGATTGTAAATTGAACATATTGGGCTTAATTCTATTTGCATTGATAATTTTAGGGGTGTGTAGAACCCAACCCAACCCGAAGACCCGTCACAACTCAATAGTTTCGGGTTAGTCTTTTTTTCATCTCATGTAAAAAAGAAAAAGAAAAAAAAACTGTTCAAAAATGAAACTGGTATTAGGTTGGGACAAGTTGGGGTTGACCCGGGTTACCCAACCCGTCTTAATATTATGAATGCACATGTGGTATTATTTATTTATTTATTTATTTAATTGGTATATTTAGATTATTTCAAATTTCTATTACACTTTTCCACTTCTCACCTTATAATTTAATATATGCACTCATAAGTATTAAGTGCACATTTTTCCATTTTTCAACTTTCACACTTCTTTAGTTCTCTTATATCATATTTTTTATTTTACATCTTCTTACTATTGTTAGAACACATATTGGTTCTTAATAATATCTCTATCTTTTGATGATAACTATTATGAAATTTTGTATTTAAGAATTATATACTCTAAAATTTGCTTGAGAATGTTTGTTGCAGATGTTAAAGTAAATATCACTCCAGAAGCAAATTAGATCTGAACATAAGAAATATGCAAGGCTCTGACCATTTTAGACTCTGATGATTCTTGCTGAAATTTATTGAAGAAGAATTCAAAGTTATGTCTGTTGGAATAACCAAACGACTCTTTCCTTATTTATGCTAGACACAAGAACACAGACAAAAAGGATTTCTCTGTGCATTCTTCTTCTAGGAAAGGTCATATGATGTGAAGGCAAAAAGGCTCAGACCTTTTTAGTACACTGTTCTCAACGTGAAAAGCTCTTGGATCTTTGTGCCTATAAAAGCAAGACTTCATTCATCTTCTTCAGTTGACGAATACACTTGAAAGAATTCATTAAAAAGCTCTCATACAACTCATACATTCTTGCTAGAATTATTTCACTGTTCTTCATCTTTAGTGAAAAATTACAGTTGTGATAAAGCTTAATTAGAAGCATTTTTAACACTTGTATTATTATTACATTTGATTGTAAAAGAATCTTAAGAAGATCCAGTTAGGATCAGTAGTTCTTGAGAAGACTTTGAATATTTGTTCTTAGTGCTTACTATTGTAATCAGTTGATTAAATAGTGGATTAAGTCCTTGTTTGAGAAAGGCAAATCACTCTAGATAGGGTGGACTGGAGTAGTTGAGTTCAACGAACCAGGATAAAAATCCTTGAGTTTTTATTTCTAAGTTTTATCTTCATACTTATTCAACCCCCCTTCTAAGTATTTTCTCACCTTCAACTATGTTTTAGTGAAATAAAAGGGTGATAACATATATAGAATTACATCATGTTTTTATTTGAAAAAATTAACTTTAGATGTCTTTATTGTTTTTTATTCATGATAATAATTTTATTCATATTTCTCATTTAAATTAATTTTTTAAAATATTATAATAAATTTCTCAACTCACTAAATTTTTCCCCATATATTTTGTCTTAACTCGATATCGTCTTACATTAATCCAGTCTAAACTAATTTATATATTATTGAGGGTTTTTTGAGTTTAGATACGGGTTAGGGTCACTAAAATAATCTGATTAAACTTCAATACAAAATTAAGGTTAGTCATATCCCTTCTCGACCTGTCTCTTATTCACCCATAGATAATTTAATATAATGTTTATATATAAGATGTGGCTTGCAGTGCAAGTAACGAACAAATATCAACAAACTAACTATCATACGTATAAAAACATTTATTTGATACAAGAATTATATAACTCAATAGATGTTAATCAGACTATTATCATTGCATGACTATCTGATTGCATAATTTTTTGTGACAAATCTTATGATTAAATCAAACAATTTAAAATTAAATCTATTGATTTAAAAATTTTAACCATTTGATGTTGATCCAACTAAAGAAAAAAAAATATTGAATTTGTGTTCAATTTAATGACCCCACGTGTTGTCCAACATAAACATTAACAAACACACTCCTTTGGCCACGAAAATGACAAAGCATTTTCCATTTCCGTTTCCATCACCGTTCCAGTCCAAAACACCAATCCTCGAGCATAACACTCTTCAGATACTCTCTTCCAACTTCAACACACTCACGTTTCTATACATATTATATGGAACAATTAGGTTTATTCCTTGGACTCACTCTGAACGTGTGAAGTCCTAACAAAAAAACATGGCTTCAACACCTCTTGTCTTCTCCACCTCCTTCTCTTCCAAACTCCACCTAACTTCCCATACTAACAAATCACACCTTCATCATCGACCCCTTAATTCCTTTCCATCTTCTTCTTCTTCATACTCCAAATCAAAACTGAATTTTTCCCTTTCAAAGCCACTCATTTTCTCTCAGAAACTAGTTGCACGAGCTTCTTCTGAAGAACATGCCACTGAAGTCAGAGATTCTGGATTGGTGGGCGAGGACGCTGCAACTTTTGACCTTGAAAAACAGAAACTTTCTTCTTGGGTTTACTTCACTGCAATACTGGGAGTGGTCTTGTTTGTTCTTAACTTGATCTGGATTGATGATTCAACTGGGTTTGGTAAGGTTTTTGTTGATACCATTTCAGGAATTTCTGATAGCCATGAGGTGATTAATTTATTCTTTTTTGTTGGTTTGAATGATTGTTTCCTATAGACAAAAATGGGGGTAGATCCTAATATTGTTTTGTCATCTTTATATCTCATCTGGTTGGTACTTGAAATGGACGAAAAGATAATGCATCGATTAAGTTTAGTGGTTAGCAATTTTATGTATGATCATTATTCATTGTACTCTGAAATTGTCTTAACTTGTGAAGAAGATAAGAAAGCCAACCCAAATTATGTAGCACTAACTCTTCATATTGAAGTTTGTGTCTTACGCATATTGAAGTCATGTCTTGTGTGACACTGACATGTGTGATTACATTCAATTACTTCATTTTCTCCAAATATTAGGTGTGTCAGGGTCGCTTCTGTGTCTGTGTTTGTGTTAGTGTTGCAGATTTTGGCATACTGTCTATTCTTTTAGTGAATTTTGTTTCTTAGTTGTCTACTATAGTCTTTTCCATCCATTACCATAAACGATTTAAATCTTCAACCGCAATGGACTTAGATTCATAACTCATCGATAGTGACCATTTAAAGTGTTGCACTCTGCAGGTGGTAATGTTAGTCCTGATTCTCATATTTGCGGGAGTCCATAGTGGCCTGGCCAGCTTCCGTGACTCCGGTGAGAAACTCATTGGAGAACGAGCTTACCGTGTTCTTTTTGCAGGAACATCACTTCCTTTGGCTCTCACCATGATTGTGAGTACCTTTTTCTTATAAACCGCAAAAAATCTTCAATATCTTCAATACTTATGATACAGCATCAAAATTGTCCCTATATGATTTAAATTTTAAACTAATATCCTCATCCATGTTTGAAATTTATGATGTAGGTGTATTTTATTAATCACAGATACGATGGACTTCAGCTCTGGCAGGTCCAAGACGTTCCCGGAGTTCATCAACTTGTGTGGCTTTCTAACTTCATCTCTTTCTTTTTCCTATATCCATCAACCTTCAATCTTTTGGAGGTTGCAGCAGTTGACAAGCCTAAGTTACATCTCTATGAAACTGGAATCATGAGAATAACCAGGCATCCACAGGTATAAACAAATCCAAACAACTACATGTATCAAAATAGAACTTGTAAGACAGATGAATTCAGGGTTTTCACTCAACCTTACTCTAAATTTTTGTTTTGTTTTGCTATCAAGATGGTTGGGCAGGTTATGTGGTGTCTTGGTCATACAATCTGGATTGGAAATTCTGTTGCGGTTGCGGCTTCATTCGCCTTAATTGCACACCATTTATTTGGTGTTTGGAATGGAGATAGGAAACTGAGTGAAAGGTATGGGGAAGAATTTGAGATAGTTAAGGGTAGAACAAGTGTTGTACCGTTTGCAGCAATACTTGATGGAAGACAAAAGTTACCAAAAGATTTCTACAAAGAGTTCATTCGATTACCATATTTTACAATCACTGCCATAACACTAGGAGCTTATTTTGCACATCCACTTATGCGGGCAGCGAGTTTCAACCTTCACTGGTAGTTTATACTAATGTCACGTTTTGTATGTATTCTTATACGGATGGATAGCATTTCCTCATCAACTAGGAAGTGAAAAGATCATAAAGGATTCTTCAGAAATTAGTTGAATAGTTAATTTTTCATTAAATTAGCATATTTTTCTGTTTTTTTTAGCTTGTGTTTTGATTCATTTTGACATATCCGATAGATGTTTGAGTCTCTTAAGCATTTGATATAAGTTGAAAGGTATCAATTCCCCTTATAAACTTATGAAGTTATGAAGTTGAAGTTGCAATAGAAAATACCTTAGTTTACCGAAAAGTGAATTATTTGAATGAATGTTTTTCATTATTATTTTTATCCACTCAAATATAAACAGTATTTGTATTATTGTATACTTCGGAAAAAAAAAATATTTGAGTTGTGAACATGTGATTGGAATTAGGAGTTAGGAGTTACTTTTCCCACCCATGGACCATGGTGCTCTCCCATCACCTAAAAAATCACCATTGTTCTTAGCGTCATGATATGTATCTTCGAATCCATCTTTTTTTACACATCCTTCAACACAGATGAATGAGTCGTCCTTATTTTGTAAAATTTAATTTGGAGATTTATCTTCGTATAATATAAAAGTGAGTTTGAAGATACATCTTTGTAAACACCATTAATTTAATATTCAATGGGTGTTATGGAGATGCATTTCCGACGCGTTTTATATTACCGCGTCAGACAGTTCCTTTTTCCTCCTTCATTTTTTGAAAAGGCACTCAAAATATACCATTTTAGCTCTTTTGCTGCAAACTATTTTGAAACTTTATTTGAGGAAGTTTCATCAAGTTCACTCACTATGTTCTACCTCATTTGCTACAAAATTGATCACTTCATTCAAGCTTATCATCCACAACTTTGATTTTGTAAGTTTATCATTGTGTGTGTGTGCACGCGTGTGCGTGTGTGCGTGCGTGTGTGTTCTGTGTGATGTTTTAAGCAACATAAGTTATTTAAGCTACATTAGATACTAGTGCAATCGAAGTAGGTAGCCTAAATGGACATGCATTGCCATTTGGTTGGAGTTTAGGGAAACAATGGAGTTTATGTCATGGCTGAAAATCGCGACTTTATCCGGAGATGCATCTCCGGATTATGTCTAAACTATTTTCGGGGATGTATCTTTGAATTTGTATCTGGCTGAATTTTGGTTAAATGTTTTATTTGACTTTCTTGTTTTAACGCATATGCAGTGGCTAAAAACAACCCTGACAAAATTAGGCTCAGATTTGTGTCATAAACCGCGTATGTACGACGTGAGAGGGTCGTGGTCAGGACCACGAAGCCACGAGTCGATGATAACTTGTTTGATGGTTCACAACATCGAGGTTCACAACCATATGATTCAAATTCTCGTAGTCGTCTGTCTCAGACCTCTACTTCACAGGGCCACATGTATCTAAATGATAAAGCACTTGAAGCCCCTGAAGTCCAGGAGGAACCCGCTACTGATGTCTCTGTAAAGAGTTATCCAGGAGGCCAATTATACACATTCGTATTTTATTCTATGTAGGCCATGTTTCTAGACGTGTCTTGGAATGATATGTATGTTTATTTACTTTTGCATTACCTATTTTTTAAATTAGTTAAATCGCAACTAATGGTGATATATTCTTTTTTAGAAGAGTGTCCGTGTTTAAAATCAGTAAACCACGATTGAAAGATATTGGATTTGAAACAACCAGACGGTGACTGGTTTAAGAATGTTATATGTTATTCTGGTCTTGCCAGTTTATGTGATGTTGCGTAAATGACTATAAACCATAGCATGCAGATAACATTTGCATAAAGATGTAAATTAGAGGTGACATCTCTCCACCTTCCAATTTGCGAGATAATCATCACCTTGGATGACGTCTCATGCCTCCTGCATCTTCTTATAAAGGGAAAATTATTGCACCATGTAAGGCTCGACCAAGAGGATGCCAACAAGATGAAGGTTACATATTTGGGGATTGACCCAACTAAGGCCGCAAATGAGGTAGCTGACACCAGAGGTGCTCGTGCTATATTTTAATTTTTGAAAGACCTCTATAAACACCACCTGTTAATGGTTGTGGATGTCGACGGTGATGATACACAAGTTGAATACCATCGACAATGTGAATTGAGGTATCACCTCTTGTTCCTAGTTGGCACATCCATGTTTGTAGACAAAGTGCAACCTACGTCGATGTGGTCTATCTTAGATAATTCATCGACTTGATTTTCATTCACGAGTACAATTGGGAAATCATCTGTTTGGTCTACCTCTACTTAAAGATGGACGGAGGTTGTCTTTGGAACACAAACCAGGTGATAGGAACCTAGACGATGCTTACGGTAATTTATTGTTACTAATATTTTAATAAACATTTTGTTAGGCTTGTTATTAATATTTTATCTGGATTATTTTTATGGATGGATCATCTCCCACTTTCCTCGCATCACTGGGTGGGAACGCGTGCCTACCTACACTGAGGATTGGCCACATGTTGCGGCCTTTGTGTCGTACAGGGGGAATAATGCCATCGAGTCATTACGGGTGTATCTTAATCGTCATGTTGCATTTGACATTTATTTCTCCCTATACGATGGTCATTGCCAAACACGTCTACTGAACTTCATTTTTTATACTCCGGATGGCTGGCATATAGGTTTGGTCTGATGTATTTGTATTTACCCGAGCAAGTGATGCACCAGTTTGAGTATCTATAGATTATTCTAAGACACCTCTCAGAGTCCACTCCTCCCACCGTCCTCCTTATAGATTTTGATGTGATACTTAAGGATTTCGAGAGTCACTTAGTATCGGAGGAGTATCGCAAGGTTTAATCTCTTGTACAATAGGCTTATGTTGACGGCTGCATGACATGGTTCTGTAGGGTGTCACACCCTATCATGGCACAAGACACTCCTAGAAGAACACCTAGGTCATCTAATCAGGGGGTACTTAAGGCTAGGGATGACCACATCCAGGATGAAAGCAGTGTCTATCGATGTATTGTGGATATGGCGAGATCGGGCATAGATACGGGACTTTTTGAGGAAGACAACCCTTAGTTAGCCCTCGTATAAGGCATTATTGTCAATGCATAGAATGCCTTGCAGTATAGGTGGAGAAGACGAGATGTTAGACATACTCAGTAAGTTATGTTTGATTGTATTGTTTTTTGTATTTTTGGAACATGTTATATATGGTCGATACATTTTGATTTTACTTTAACTAATGTGTGAATTTTTACTTTTATTTTACTTTAATATAACCTGATTTTACTTCAATATAAGTTGGCCTAAACAAATTACAATGTTGCTGCCTTGAAACCACTTTGGGGGTTTTCCAAAGATGTGCGTGCAATTAACACGCTTCTAATACTTTTTAAACAACGTCAATGGGTATTTAGGAGATGCATATCTAGATACACCCTAGAAAGTTTATTCAGATGCATCTTCGAAACATATTCTGAAGAAAAAAATGGGTGTACGTGGTTGAATTACTAAGGCTAGTGTGATTTAAGTTGCGTCCATATATGCATCTTCTAACACAAGAAGGACATCTTTGAGTTTCCAGAGGTGTGTGGTGCACCCTATAGGATGGAAAAAGCATTTCCCTTAGGAGTTTACAAAATTTAACTAACTTTATGAATCCATATCGATCCGCAATCTATTGGTTGAATTCAACCCTAAATTAAAAAAGGAGTTTGACACTAAATTAAAAAAATAAACAGTTACTCGTTACACACTATGTATTACTTCCAAACTATATGAAAATTTCACAATGTTTCCAACTAAAAGATATATTTTAGACATATTTTGTACGGTGTCAATCATGTGACTTCACACACCAATACTTTGTTTGGGAGTATAAAGGAAAAGGGAAGGGAAGATTTGAAAAAAGTGAAGGATTGAGTGAATATAATAAAGAGATTTAAGTGAAAAGGGTTTTGGAGGATTTATTTTTATTCAAAAATCAAGATCTCTAATTTGAGAGAATTCAAAATTGTATTGGATGATGAGTTTGAAGGACTTTTGAGGGTTTAGACAAATGGTTCAATTATAATATATGTTGTTATAGTATTTCAAAAATTAAAAATATGTTAATGATCAACACTTTTTTATTGCTCTATACAAAATTATTCTTTCAAAAAAATGCTAAAGATATATCTATATTAAAAAAAAAATTCAAAACTCTCATTTCTCCTCCCCTTCAAACTTCCAAACAAAACCTAAAAGAACATACGAGTTTATCTAGTAAATAACATTCGTACACATCATATGCATGATAAATTTCAAATAGAAAGTTAATAAAACATAATTAAAACTCCCCCAACCTATTTAGTAACGTTTCAAGATTTAGAAATTCCAAACAAGCCTTTGATTCATTTCCAATTTCGCAATCACTCTCACCCCTTACTCTAAGTTTTTCAATCTTAACCCTAACTCATTCAATCTCATTATGGATATTCCATGTTTTCTATTATGGAATTTGATGAGCAGGCAAATAATTTAATATCTTCACTTCCTCACATTATATCTAGTTAGTAAGATACGTTTATTTATTTTTGTGTGGCGAACGATTTTAGATAGACTTCCTACACGCCTCAATCTTGTGAAACGTGGTATCATCAATATTTCTCATGAACGGGTATGCATTTTTTGTTTTAACTTTAATGAAGATATTAATAATTTATTATTTAGTTTTTCTAAAACAAAAACTACTTGGAGACATATTTGTTGTTGGTTTGGTGTGGAAAACATTGATATAATATAGGCTTGTGAACACTTGTGGTCTTGGGTAGATAAAGTTAGAGTTATGACTTTGATACCTAATGTGGTTGAATTATGGTGTATTATTTGTTAGAGCGTTTGGTTTTCTAGGAAACAAATCCTTTTCAAAGACGAAATTGGAGATCCGAAATTGGTGACACACATAATTGTTTTAAATTCTTGATGGTGACTATTCAAGAAGCCTAACACTTTTAGTTACTATGA